ACAATTTTTAGGGGCCCTGTCAAAATTTGATTTATTTACAAACAACAAAAATACTGTTTCCTAGATAAAGCAACGTAGTATGTAGCATTTAAAGTCATAATTTGGCGTATTTTTCATAAGTTCAGACTAACTAAAACTAAAATGATCTTCCTCTTTGCTTTTTTATTTTATATAAAGATGGGACTTTCCTGTAAATATAACACAATTTAATCGCATTGCATAAAAACACAAGATTTATAAAACAATAAACGATTCATTTCCGATTCGGGATAAAAATATTATATCAAACACAGTTTCAAGTCAATTTAACCTACATTTATAGAAATATGTGGACGATATTTGGGCTCAAAATCGGCGATTTCATTTTCAATTTGATAGCAAATATTATCTTAATCTTTGTTTAATCTCATGTTTTACTTTTTAGTTCAGATACGCCATACTTGGTATATAGCTTTATGACCCTTTGTATGACCCTTTTTAAAACTTTTCATACGGCCCCTTATAAATCGAAGGCCAGAGTACAAGTCCGAGCTCGTGGCGCACTTAGCTGGAAATGTCTATTAATTTCAGACGTATCCCTAAAATTAAATTTTGTTTTTACATGTATATGCTAGCGCTGTGCTGTGAGTAATATTGGGATCAGTGATCACCCAACCCTACCCCCACCCCCTCCCAACGAAAAAATAAAATTCTTAAATCAGCGTCAAATATGGATAATTATTTTCTTTAATGCATAATATGAATCTTTAATGAACTGCACTGAAAGAAATACCTAGTTGATTTAACTAGTGTGCCTAGTAAAGCTTTCTTCCTGATTAGTGATCACCCTGTTTACTGGCTAAGATAGTAAAAAGTGGAGTGGTGGTCATATAAATACTAAGATACCTAGTGAGAGTTACTTATAAATTCTTAGATTAAATAATGTTATCTAGTAAATCTACCCAATTCCTAGTAAAACTACTTTTGAGGTAGTGATTGTATGGACAGTAAATTTACTAGTCTTTCCAGTGACTTTCACTACTTTATTTTTTTCAGTGTGAAAACATTTTATATGACCATTTTTCATCACATTTTTTCAATGTGAGAAGCTGGAAAACACAGGCTATACCAGACAATGCATTAAAAATGAAAAACTGAAATATGTGAAATTAACATCAACCAATTTATGTTTGAAAGACACATGAGCAGGTGGATTTCAATGAACAAAAATTGGTATAATGCCCATTAAAAATGGGTACCGTCCTTGGCGAAAAAGACTTACAACAACCAATGCACCCTTTACCAAAATTCAACAAATTATCACTGATTATGTTTGACTGACTTCAAGACACATACTAGCAGTAAATTTGATAGGCATATCATTTTTATGGTAGTTCACACTGTATTAAAGAATCATTTGACAATAAAAAAAGCTTGGTACTCAATGGTCACCCTTTGATTTGAAAAATGAGTGAAAACGATAACCTGTAAGAATAACTGAACATTAAAAAAGAAATCCTAAATTGTATTTATTAATGTTTGTCTAAAATTCAAACAGATACTTAAGCTTGAATCCATTGCTTTGAACCCTCAGACAAAATTTTACAATAAGAAGCAGTCGACAAAAACAGCAAAGATCTGAGAAGAACAAAGAACTGCAGGAAACACAAGAACAATTTTATATGTCATTTTCCTAAATGTTAGTAGTCTTGTCGTTCAAATTCTTATTTGGGGAGGCAGTTCAATTTCTGGAGGAGTCTAGAAAGCAAAATATTTGCGAAAAAATTTATCAGAAAAAGGAACCAGAATCAGGAATGCACTATATTAATTATTTTCCTCATTACTCGTACAGCGTCCAAACCCACACGACCTGAAGAGTAAAGGAGTTTTGGATATAAAAAGTAAGTTTATGTTTTGTGACATCATCAATATTTGCCAGACCTTATATCCTTGACTTCTTTCAATTTCCAATCTTGACAAAAACACTTTTCAGAAAGAAGAAACAACACAAGTAAATAACTTTAGACTTATTTTTGGTGCTAGATCCATTATGACGTCATAATCAATTTCAACTTTCTTTTCCACGTACTTTACGGCTTTAGCAGAATTATGTAGAAAATAGGGTTTTTACATGACATTCAATTCGAAATCACATGGAAAGTAAACCGGATACCTACATTAAATTTGATATTGATTTAAAGAAGAGGCCATGAACATACTAATTACCGTTTTCTGAGAGACTGTAGGCAATATGAATATATTTTCTTTGTCGAATATGAGAAAAACTCCCATATTCATGACTGGTTTTCTTAATTTTTCATTGAAAGTGAGAGTTTAAAAAACAGTTTTTCATCTTGTTTACCTACAATTTATGCCCCGAAACACCTTATTTGACCAAGGTAAAGTTGTAAAGCATCAATAAAGGAATTTATTTCTCAAGTTTGATAAATCTGTAGGCACCTTTCATTTACTAGATCTTGACCTTAACAAACACAATGTAAGTATAGAATTGAAAAGAATTGTTCACTTGTACTGAAATTATCTGCATTTATGAATATCCTATTGCAGCAAATCGTAACTTTGACTTTCTGTCAACAATGTCGGTTCGCATTTCCTCGAATCAAAACAAAACGTAGCCTATAAGATTTTGAAAAATATCAATGTGGGATTTGATATAAATTGAAATAGATGAAGAGTTTAATGTTTGATATTTTGGAGTCAATGTGGCCGAATACGGAATTTTCATTTTAACTTTAGAAGCGACGACATTGAAAGAAATGCATACAATATCATGAGGGGTGTATGTACAATGTACATCTATGATCTAATACAAATGTCGATGTAATCCACGGCCACAAACTGTCTCGTTTGAAATAATAACATGAAAGAAACTACACTTATTCCATTTATATCACAGAAGAGTTGAACATACACCGGCTCAACTCCAATATAAGGATAAAGTAGTACTTTGACTGAAACAATATAAACATATTCATACATCACTGTATATTAAAGTAATGTTACGGAGTTTATTATTTCTACATTCCACACATGAATTTACTGTCGACCGGGGACAGGTCGACGGTTGACAGTTGACACTTTCCTTATGTTCTAGTGACGACAGGGGACAGGTCGACGGTTGACAGTTGACACTTTCCTTATGTTCTAGTGTCGACCGGGGACAGGTCGACGGTTGACAGTTGACACTTTCCTTGTGTTCTAGTGTCAACCTGGGACAGGTCGACGGTTGACAGTTGACACTTTCCTTGTGTTCTAGTGTCAACCTGGGACAGGTCGACGGTTGACAGTTGACACTTTCCTCGTGTTCTAGTGTCGACCGAGGACAGGTCGACGGTTGACAGTTGACACTTTCCTTGTGTTCTAGTGACGACCGGGGACAGGTCGACGGTTGACAGTTGACACTTTCTTTGTGTTCTAATGTCGACCGGGGAAAGGTAGACGGTTGACAGTTGACACTTCCCTTGTGTACTAGTGTCGACCGGGGACAGGTCGACGGTTGACACTTTCGTTGTGTTCTTGTGTCGACCGAAAACAGGTATATAAAATACCGTCCCTTACATGTTCTTTTATTTAGTTTACAATAAATTATTTTTGATCAAAGCGACACTTTTTTTATGATCTAAAATTTTACTTTACACTGACCCTAATCACAGCTATAAATGTGAAACTAACCCTAATCACAGCTATAAATGCATGTGAAACTAATCTTAATCACAGTTATTTACACAAGACTAACCCTGATCACAGCTTTTAATACGAGACTAACACTTATCACACTTAAGAATGCGAGACTAACCCTAATCACAGTTATGTATGCGATATTACCAACTGTCAACTGTTCCCGGTCGACAGTAGAAATGATTATTTTCCTGTCAACTTTCCCCTGTTTCCACAGTAGAAAATGTTAAATGTAAACTGTCAACTGTCCCCGGTCGACAGTAGAAATGGTTAAATGTCAACTGTCAACCCTCCCCGGTTGACAGTAGAAATGGTAAATGTCAACTGTCAACTGTCCCCGGTCGACAGTAGAAATGGTCAAATGTCAACTGTCAACTGTCCCCGGTCGACAGTAGAAATGGTTAAATGTCAACTGTTCCCGGTCAACAGTAGAACCGAATCACCACTTTTATAAATAAAGCTTCCGCATAGGGACTACATACCCTTATATTTGAGTTGACCCGAATTGGCTCCCAGGGTTCATGTGATATGGAATGCATAACGCATACGTGTGTATATGGACTAAACACTAAAATCTTTCAGTAATTTTTTCCTGATTCATATAAAAAGAGTAGTCAATATATTTATTCTGCATTCATGAATTTAAAAACTAAATGCATACCTCCGGGATTCTTGACAAAATACCGATATATTTGCACTGTAAATGACGTTTCGTCAAACGCTAATGGTCTTCGATGCAAAAAAGGAAGGAGTGGGGGTGATAGGGGTATTCAAAAATTGTCTAAAAATCTACATTTAAATACGCTTTCCATATGAGAACTTTTAAATTTGTAAGTTAATATATTTTTGAAGCAAAAGCAATATTCCAATTAATTTTTTTTAATGTGCATTAGTAGATTTATATAACAAAGTGATCGACCCCCGTCAGAAAGACGCGCGGGAACGTGATTTATTGAGAAAGGGGGAGGGGGTAATTTTCCGAAATTAAATCAAAACTGGTCGAACAAAAAATTATGAAGATTATTTTTCCTACCAGCTACCTAAAGAAAGTTTTTTGCCAAAATTAAACGACAGGTTTTTTCACAAAAAATTTTGAATTTTAAAAATACGCAATTTTCAAGGCTTAGAAAATTCATAATTTTTCAGTTTAAGGTCTTTAAAAATTGTTTTGATGATATTTATATCAAAAAAATGACTATGTTTTTGTGTTAAATGGTTAAAGGAATAAGCCAATGAAATTTGACATCGATATCTAATCTGGTTTTATTGAAATCAGGGTTTAAGTAGTTCAATGATTACCTTGGAAGAAGACGGTATTGAAGTTTTTTACAGTCAAGGTAGGTAGGTCTAGGCAGGTAGGGCTAATGCCAGTAAAAAGCTAAATGTAGAAATACAAAATTCAAAAGAATTATACGGCCTGGTAAGTGTAGATCAGTTTACTGTTGAAGATTGTTGCTATAGACGGTAAGCTTTTTTAAAAAAAGCTCTACTTGTTAAATAATTTCTCTCCTTGTAAACAACTAAAGGGGGGTAACTTTCGGAAGTTCCTGTCCAAAAACCAGTCGAACGATTTTGTCCAAAATATGCATACATGCAGTATATATAGTCATGTACTAAATATATAAAAATAACGAAAATTAAACGTCAGGAATTTTTTTGGATAGGTGTGTTGTACATGCTTAAGAATTCCATACCAACCAAATCAAACACCCCATCTCGGTTTTTTCACTTACTGGTAAATCATAAAAACATTTTGAATTTATTTCTGTAAAATAAATGACAAAATTCGTCATCTGAACTTTTAAATATTGTTTGTCTACAATCGTCACCTGAAAACATTTGAATGTTGCATATACAATCGTAATCTAAAAAAAAGATACACAATTTATTAAAAGTATAGAATTCTAGAACATCTGATGCATGGAATTTTACCAAGAAATGAAACTGAAACTGAAAGTATAATCCATTGTGTCAAAATAGGTCATATGTTTGTGTACAAATCGAGGACGCTTTCCAAACTGTATTGAATCTTATTTTGTTTTTCTAAATTTTAATTGAAATATATTTCATAGATATGGCACGCCAAATCACAAACATAGTTTCACATTTGATAAACTAGGTTCATCGACTGTAAACTATAGTTTACAAGCCATTGTTTCTTTAAATAAAAAAAAACAAAAACAAACAGATGTTTCAGATATCGTTCTGTTCTAAGCTAAGACACAAGCTAAAATCTTTTTTTTTTCATGGTGATAACTTACCATTTTATATCAACAGATTTTCTACAGAACAGCTATTATTCGGTTTAGCAACATGTCCTCCATCGATTATACAAAGGTGTACCTAGGAAATCTGCGAAAAGACATACAATCACAGATTCTTAAAAATCAAATTTATGATTTGTTCAGGAATAACTTAAACATCCAAATTAATCGCTCTGACATCAAAATTCACCCAAAAAGGAAATCAGATTTTAAGTCTGCTATTGTTGATTGTCATGACGAACATGAAGCAAAACATGCTCTCGATCAGTTTGGCACATGGAAGTCGAGCGGACAGAAACACGTTCACTTTAACTGGGACTCTATTTGTACAGAATCAGATCTTTTGACTTTTGACTACAAACGTACTGGTGCTGCAAAAAAGAACAAAACAAAGATTAAACCTGAAAAAAGGACTGGGGCGGATATTGCAGGGAAAGCAGGTCCTTCAACCAGTGATAATGCTTATGCTCAGAAGAAAGAGCACGAGAACTTATATCCATCAGAGAAGGTAGATACTGCTACTACTACAGGAAAAGGCGATGAATCTGAGTCTCAGCGTAAGTTTTACTTAGAAGATGAGCAACTCGGTAATGAAACTAGACAGAAAGAATTCAAAGAAGGCTACATACCATCTGACAAAAAAGCCAGGAAAGAGCTTCTTTTAAAATACCTTTCTGCATTTCTTAACAGTGGCGAGGGCGGGACGTTGTATTTCGGCGTAAACGACCAAGGTAGGTGCAGAAATGATTTTCATAATTTTTTAAGAGGAATATAGGATCTGATACAAATAAAATCAAATGTTTACTATTGTACGACTAAGATATCAAATGTATGCTTTTTCCTCCTTTCTATTTATTTTTGATACATTGAATAAAA